ATCTTCTCCATGTTGATACCAAATATAATAATATGGCATGAAACCTCTATTTATTAAATGCTTCCAAACATTTTCACGAGGGCCTAATTTGGTATTGCAGCATTTCCGACAAGGACAGAACATCTTACCACTTTCCTGCGTGAGTGGTGTAGAATCTGCTTGATGCATAAACGTCTCCAACCCTTCCAGAAATTCTTTCTTCACCCTCCCGTTATTATCTCTGTGTGAATACATCCACTGCCGCAACTCGAAAATATTTCCCGGACCGGACATTTTTTTGTGTTTGATCAAGCTTATAGCTGATTTTTTTTGGTGTGTTTCAAATGAATCACATAAAGTGGTATTTATAGAAATTTTTGAATCTGAGCATTTACTAGGAAATTGCTAGGAAAGGTAGGTACAAAACACGTTTTTGATTTAATTCGATATTTTTTATCCAGTTCCTCCTAATTTCGTAGTAACAAAACCCTTTCCTCCTAATTTTGTAGTAAAGACATACTATGACTTTACGAGGAAAAGTGGTACTACGGGTTTACGAGGAAATGTACTTTTTTCTCGTAAGCTACTCGTAACATAACTACGGTCTTACGAGGAATCCTTTTTCTCGTAAGTTTACGAGGATCTTACGGGAAAATTTGATTTCCTCGTAAAACCGAAGTAAGTGCCTAGTAAGTTTACGAGGAATTATTTTCCTAGTAAAATTTCCTAGTAAAGGCTTAGTTTTCTTGTAGTGTAATAAAGATTATGGCTCTATTGCTCGAAACATGATTTCAGGTTCTTAGAGTTGGACAATATCATCATGCACTGTCCTCGAGAGTATTATGAATTTGTAAAGATGGAAAGCCCAACTATATCGAGAGCCTAAGAATGGATATAACAACCACCGAGCGGTACTTCAATTTGAAAAGGCTCTGCAACAAAATCCCCACGTGTATTTATTCCATTGAAGCAAAACAACGTGTCACTACTACGAGTACAATACTGGATACCGAAGACCTGCTATGGTAAACTCCTATATATATATGCATTTAATAAAGATTAGAAAACTTACAAACATTGTGTCTTTAGGCTTTAGAATAGTGTGAATACATATTGTGCGAATATGATGGATCGTCAATCATCGATCATGGTCTTGATAATGTTTATATGATTATTGTGACGGATCTTTTTTTATTGATCCAACACCTAGATTTCAGGATTTGGATATGTTCACACGTTATATCTGTTGGAAATGTGAATTTGATCCTTGGCCAAGCGTTGATTGGAAATGTGAGTCTGTCCTTGATTTATGTTTAGTGCTTCAAGTTTGTTTCTACAGCTGTTGTTTTCCTCCCATTCATGCTTCATGTATCTTTGTTGTTTCTTGAAGAATCCAACTCAGCAGACAGCTATTGAAAACGTCATGGTCCATGAACTGATGGGCGAGTGGGGCTGGTGCAACCAAAAGGTGATTCAAGGGAAATTTGTGTGGTAACCAGAAGTATGGCATATCACTTTTGATTTCAGATTACTATCTGTTAAAGATGGGGGTATGAGAAGTGGTTCGGTGGGTGGTTCAAACCAAACATGCGATATAGATAAAGTCAGATCTGAAACATGCAGACTAGAGGAAAGGCTGGTGTTCTGAAACCAAATCCGAGATATGCATTGATCACTGTTAAAGGTCTACCTCAAGTACCAAGGACAGTGGTTGAAGCTCTACAACATCCAGGCTGGAATAGTTCAATGGGAGAAGAAATAGGGACGTGTAAGGAGACAAACACGTGGAGTCTGGTTCCTAAGCCTTCTGATGCAAAGGTAATAGGATGTGGTTGGGTTCATAAAGTAAAATTAAATGCATATGGCACACTGCAGAAGCTGCGATCGACTGGTTGCTAGAGGAAATGAACAACAAGAAGGAATGGACTACCTGGAAACATATAGTCCAGTTGTAATAACAGATACTGTGCGTATTGTTTTACATCTTGCTGTCATCAGTCGATGGGACATCCATCATCTTGACGTCAAAAACGCCTTCTTACACGGTGATTTGTCCGAGACTGTTTACATGAAACAACCTCTAGGGTTTAAAGATAAAGCACATCCGGAGTATGTATGTCATCTCCACAAAGATATTTACGAGTTGAAGCAAGCTCCCAGAGCGTGGTTTGATAAATTTAGCTCTTACCTGCCTGAGTTTGGCTTTATCTGCAATCAAAAGGATGCTTTGTTGTTTGTGTATCAGAAGAATGAAGATGTCATTTTCCTGCTCCTTTATGTAGACGATATGGTGCTTACTGGCAACAAGAAAGAGCTTGTTCAACAGCTTCTGAAGTCACTGAGAACTCAGTTCAGAATGAAAGATATGGGTCCTCTTAGTTACCTTCTTGGGATTCAAGCTAACTTCACTCCCACTGGCTTGTTTCTTAATCAAGAAAAGTATGCTGCAGATCTTCTTCAGGCAGCAAGGATGCTTGATTGTGCGCCTATGCCGACTCCATTACCACTTCAGCTAGACAGAGTTCCACATCAGGATCAAATATTCTCAAATCCAACATACTTCAGAAGCCTAGCTGGCAAAGTTCAATACCTTACACTGACTAGACCCGATCTTCAGTTTGCAGTAAACTTGGTGTGTAAGAAAATGCATAAATCGGCTATGTCTGATTTTAACTTGCTAAAGAGAGTGTTGAGGTATGTGAAAGGCACTATTCAGATGGGCATTATGCTTGAATCTAACACTGACTCCAATGTCCGAGCCTACTGTGATAGTGCTTGGGCTGGATGCCAAGACACAAGAAAGTCTACAGGTGGGTTATGTACTTTCTTAGGATCTAACTTGATTTCTTGGTCTGCAAAGAAGCAAGATTCTGTTGCAAGATCTTCAACAGATGCAGAATATAGGACACTGTCAGACACCGCAACTGAACTTTTTTGGATCACTAGTATGCTGAAGAGCATTGGTATTAATCATACTGAGCCAGTGGAGATCTATTGCGACAATCTTTCAGCTATACATTTGACTACCAATCATGTCCTACATAGCAAGTCAAAGCATTTTGCAACTCATTATCACTTTGCTAGAAAGAAGGTAGCTGATGGGTCTCTCATTGTGAAGCATATACCGGCAATACAGCAGATAGCAGACGTGTTTACGAAGTCACTGTCTCAACATAGTTTTGCTACGCAAAGGTACAAACTCGGAGTTGATCACTCCCCCACCTCGAGATTACATGGGGGGGGGGTGTCTTAAGGCCTCTAGATAATCCATCACATTCACGTTCATTCGAGGGAAAAGGTTTTGGGTCCTGGCAACAACAAACCCACTTCAGCTCCAGTTAAAGGACAAAATCCTGCAACGGTAACAAAAGAGAAAAATAGAGGAAAGATAGAGACAAACGTACCAAAGCTCCAGCTCATTAGGTGCTCCTCTCAAATAGATTCGATGCGCTTGAGGATCAGATCGTCTGAGCTGTCAGAGCCATCTGTCCAATCTCTAGATTATTTCTCTGCTTTTGTATAAATAAGGATGAATGTAATGTGACAAAAAGACAAGAAAATAAAGAGAAAAACTTCAGTATTCTCGTTGTCTATTGTCTTATCTGATTTTCCTTCAACCTTAACACTTATACTGAAAATTCTCACATTTTCAAGCATGTCAATCTCCAAAGCCACCCTTCTGTAAACACTCACTCGATCATCCCGCCCTCGCGTTCCGCCGCTGTTCACCTTTGTCCGATACATGTTCCGACATAGGAAGAAGTCGCCGCTGAACGTCACCGTCAATTGTGGACGACGAAACGGTTAGGGTGTGTGAAGAAATACAAAAAGAAGAGCTGAGGAAAGGAGAAAGAGAGGATGATCTACAGAAACTTGTGGATGAGAACGCGAGATTGAAAACAGAAGTAAAGGCGAAAGAGTTGGAAGCAGCAAAAGCCAAGAAGGAGGAATATACATATTAGTATAACTTCAATATTAATTCCAAAACAAGAACAAGAAAAGATGTAAAGAGCTTTGGGATAATAACGGTGTTGTTGAAGAAGTTGATGCGGCGGTTCAAGGATAAGCAGCCAATGTGGTAGCTCAAGGAGAAGAAGCCGTAAATAAGTTATGATCCACCTTTTTCTATTACTGCCAGGGTTTTGTAAGTCATCTTTTACGCTTTACTTCCGGTTTCAAATTTATTACCATGGTATTTAGCAAAATAGATCTACCTGATGTTATATTACTGCATAGTATTCTTTATTGCAAGTTAGTGCATGTGATATCCAAGCAACAAAGAACTGAAATTTTGTAAACTACTTGTGTCAGTGATGTTTAGACATAGGTAACTTGTTCCCAGAGCTAATAATAAACAAAATGACAAAGTCAAGTAATTTTTTTTTAAAAAATTATGATAAATATTGTCATTTTAAATGGTATTAGAAAATCTGCCTACTAATGTACATACTTAAATCTGCCTACTACTAAAAGGTATATAATGTAGACTAATAATATCATATTCGCTATTTTCACTATGGAAGAGACCATTAACCTTTTCTTTGTAGTTAAATTTCTTCTATTATAATATAGATTCCAGAAAAAACAAGAGATAGGAAACATAAAGAACTCGAAAGTCGTAAATAGGTTAGAAAACTAAAACATCCATCATATATGTACATGGTCAAGTTAAATCGAAACTAGAAATGCAGAATCAAAGCTAACCAAACCAGTCTACTAAGTCTTTGTTACTCAGAGCTCCATATGATTCTTGGCCTGCTCTCTTTTCATTTGAGTAGACTATCATTGGCTGGAGAACCACAACAGAGAGATATGTCAGCCATATAAACCAACGCTTTGAATTGAAACCAAATATATAATCAATCATAGACGATTCCATCAAAGTAAGGAGTTTGGTCACAAAGTAGATCACTACCTCATATTAGTGGATGAGCTCTGAGCCAAGAACCGAACAAACTCGTCTTTCTTCTTGCCAAAGTTGTACACAGCATGGTCACGGAGCACTTGCGCTCGCTTTATGTCCTCCAGCGTTTTTTCTTTCTTCTGTCTCAGCTCTTTCATTTGCCTCTCTGCCTCACTAAAGTTGTTCATGGTCTGCGAAGCAGTTGGCTTTGCAAACCTCACGTTCCCCTCATCGCTGAAACTTGAATTTGTTAACAGAAGACAAAAGAAAAGAGTGAAGAACCCAAAGAGGGAGAACGTTACCTGCTTCCAAGTGTTAAGATCCCGCCTGTTCTGAGTATTCCCCCATCCAAAGATACTGCACCGTCACTTATGCATGGGAGGGCACTAATCATGTCAGCCCTTGTTTTGTACACTTGAAGACGGGAGAAGAGACTGTAGAACAAGGTCTCACGAAGACCATATCCATATGATGTGACACATAGCAGGTAAGCTGGATCGATTTGTATCAGGTTCACAGCAAAACCGAGAAAACCTGGAGGATACTCGCCGTTAGGAAGTTTTGGTTTCAGAAGATTAAGCCTTCTTTGTGGATCACCAGCTATGTACTGACCAATATACGGTCTAAAAGCCACCAAAGAAACTCATTAGAAAGATTTCATATGAAAGTATCAAGACAAGAACTAGTAGTACCTCAGATTTTCGAGAGAGATGGCATCGAAATGGCCTTCGATGGTTCTGCCAATCGAAGAGCCAAGCCCGTGAAGGCCACCATTTCTATCAATCTTGCCGTGGCTGTCATAACTCTCTAAACCCTTAACACTGTTGTAATCCTTGCATACAAGTGCCAACATCGAACGAGTCCCTAGATAATCCGACAAAACCCTGCATTTTTTGGAAGTACAAACAACATCAACAAGGAAGGTCCGGTTTGCAACAGAAACTGTGACACTGTGAATAAAGGTAAAAGTGGTACTAACTGGCTCAAGTTTTCATCATTGACTTTCCCGAGTTTGGCTACAACTCCAACTACACCTTTAATCGAATTCAACTGAGAAGCCTGCGAGGAGTGACGAGACTGAACATGACTTAAAACTCCAGCCGCTGAGTTTGCGTGCCGGAGAATCTGTTCAGTGATGTCTTCACCTTGAAGACTGGTGTCATTGCTCTCGCTTCTAGGAGTGCCTGACTGATGAAGTTTGCTCATATGAACTGCAAAAGAAACAAAAAAAAAAAAAAAATAGACATAAACACCTCTCATTTCTCAGACAGAATGTGGTATAAGCAGGGGGACTCGAACCTTGCAAGTCGAGGATAGACTCATCCAACTTGTTCTTCTGAGCCTTGAGGAACTTCAAGCTATCTTCGTGCTGTTTGAGTTTGATACCCATGGCTTCAAGATCAGACTGGATCCTATTGGAAGTGAACAAAGCAAACTCTGCTTGAGAAATCCCTCCTCCGTTTGTTTCTTTTGGATCCACCAGCATCATCTTTGATGGATCTTGAACAGCCAAAGGAGTTGCATGAAACGAAATCTACAATTGTGGATGACAAAAAAACCACTTATTTCATTAAACCCTAATCCTCAAATTCAAAAAAGGTGAAACCTTTGAGAATTTTCATCCAATTCAACCACAGATACTGAACAAAAAAACAAAGCAATTGCATTAAGGCAAATGCGTAAGGGAAGAACACAACTCAGCCAATGCAGTATCATGCAACTGAAAAAGAAATCAAAATCGACCAGAGGAGTAAACAAGTTAAAAGACGAGTTTTTATTTCTGCAGAGATTGATCGGGTAAAGAGGAGATCAAAAGCTAGATTCTTGTTGTTTCCGAGTAATCTGCTTCCGTTTGCGATGTTGTAAGTAAGAAAAGTGAAAGTTCTTGAACAGACCTGTTGACCTGTCGGATACATTGCTCCTCCTCGGCTTCAGTGATAATCTCTTTCTTGATCTCTCTGCTGTGATTCGGCTTCTTCTTCGGTCTCACTGATAGATGAGGAATTTATTAATTTTGCAGGGGTCTTCTTCTGGAAATGGAAGACACATATTTTTCTCCTTTTCTTTTTGGGCCGAAACATGTCAGCAAGTATTTTCATTTTATTGTTTACTTTTCTTGGTGTATTTCATAGGCAAGGCCTTTGGTCCGGGATAGGACCAATATCTCCCGACTATGACTAGCATAACTATCTATCTTATTAAACAACTAAATCTTGAGTCGTATCACGCGCGGATTGTGAACAAATATATAGTATATATAAAACTTTACTTGTAGACTTACAAAAATTTTAGATCTCACATATGTGAAAATATTGATATAAATGTCTTTTCAATTTTTTACATATAGTTATAAGTTTAATGGTTTAATGTACGCTGGTCGAGAAAACTCTCCCACGCACATATGTCGAGGATAGTTGACTCACGAGGAAGCCTCCTGCCTCCTAGATAGCGACATCTCTTTTCTTTGCCGTTTTTGTCTTTTTTACCGCCGGATTTCCTTTTGCTCCTTATTGGTAGCTCTAATCTTTTTTCTAAAGTAGCTTACTCCACAATTACTTTCAAAATTCACCTTCCTCCGATCTCACTTGAACTACAACGCTTAGATCTCCTTACATACCATAGTGTTGAGCTTCTCTCTGGGTGCCTCCCGCTCAGTTTCTGCAATCTGCTTCCCTCTACAAACCAGTTTCAAACCCAGCCACACGTCCTCTTCTAAAAATCTTTTCTCGGAGTCGACTAAGACCTACTCCTCCAGAAAGAGTTTTTTCAAAGCCTTGAAGCTTCCTTCAGACGATGTCTCATCGATTCTCAGAGATGGAGAAATGAAAGGGCCATCTCGCAGACCCTCCTGAGCGACCTCTGAAGAGGATAAAAGCCCCAGCTTTTAATACTTCCTTACTCATCAAGGAAAACACTCTCACCCTTATAGGCCACTTAACTAACTGATATCACTCAGATTATCCTAAGGAGTGAATTACTCTCTCAAATAAGAGGTTCAATTGTAGTACTTAGGGATCGAATCCACAAGGAACTAAGGAACACAAAAGATACAATCCTAAGTGATTATGCTAGGTTGATTAAAGTTTAAAAGGTAAATTGCAGTTGTGAGCAATGCTGAGTTGCTCAAGAGAGTTGGTTTAGGTTTTAAACAATAAAAGAAAGTAGTTAGATTCAAGGTTACTATTCAGATAATCAGGATTATAATGCTATAAAATGTCTTTCTAAGTTGCTTGCAAGATATTAAAGAACTTCAACTCTTAGATAAATCTATTAGATGTCGCTATTAGACTCGTCCATTGATCTGACTGTCGGCAATATCGACCGATGGATTGATAGCGATATCAGACGATATGGGTAGTTGTCGATCGATTACTCTATAGGAGTATCGATAGATATAACTTCAGATCGAATTGAATATGTGTTCAACATGATCATAGACCAGCTCTCGCTCGTCCCTAGAGGATCTCAGCTTATACCAGATGATTTCAGGAAGATGATTTAACAAGTTAAATCATTACATGATCATACTCTAGTTAGCTACTCTAGAGCAAGCATTAGGGTTCATCAGGATAATGAATATCACAACTCAACAATCCATAGTTGGGGCTAATCCCTCATAACTATTTGAACCCTAAATCTAACAAGTGAATCTACTCAGACATGGCTAAGTAATTCATAGCAACAAGGTAATAATAGAAATTCATTAGATTAGAAGATTAAACTCTTGGTTCTTTTGAACAACAAATCTCTTTGTGTGTTTCTTCTAAATCTAGAATTCTATAACCTTTTATGAGAATGAGAATAAGATGAAAAGAATACTTTTATAAATCAAAGAACTAAGAACACAAAAAGCATTCAAAGGGTAAAAGTTACAAAAAGCATGTAAAGCACACTAAGCGTAAAAGCATGTGCATAACTATAAATATGAGTTCCATTAGGTTAAAAACTCGCCAGGGAAAATCTTGTAATATTGAGAGAACTTGGGCTTCAAGGCCGAGTCAACTTGTTCTCCACGCTTCATATCGATCGATGGTATATGGTGTAGATCGATCGATGGAGTATCTTAATTCGTCATCCTATGTGGAAGCGTCGTCGATCGATTACACATGATGTGTATCGATCGATATGTATCTCTGGATATCGACCTTATTGTCTGATCTTTATAGTCATCTCGGGAAAACTCTCCTTTAAGTCCATAAGGGCACCTAAATCATCACTTTACTCCAAAATGCTCCTGAACCTGAAAACATACAATAGACTCTAAAACATATATATATTATAAAATCATATAAATACCATGGTTAAAAGTGGGTCAAAACCATGGTATATCAACTCCCCCAGACTTAACATTTTGCTTGTCCTCAAGCAAACACAGTAGTTAGTCTTTGAAAGAAGTTTAAAAACAGCAGGGACTCAATCAAATCTTAACTTAAGATCATAACTTGTACTTTGTTGCAAGCCACATCTTATATTACTAACTACAGAATTACATTATACCATATCCTAGCTTAGCAACCAAATTCATCTAGCCAATCAACTTAGCAATCATGTCTGTCTATCCCCTCTACTGATTTCATTTATGCATAAAATAAAAGTGAAGGCTTTACCTTGGGAGTATCGATCAAGGAACACTTGGATTCAACTCAAGCAAGTTTCAGGCATTCTTATTCTGGTTTCTTTTCTCCCTATATCTCCCTTCTCTAAATCCCAAATTTTATTTTTCTTTTATATCAATCCCAATGAACAACAGATGTTCATCTTATTGATCTTTCTACTTTTTGTAGTCTTTTCTGACAAAGTGTAGGTGAATAGTGGGGTCATGGGTAATGTACCTCTTTCTCGCTTCCACAATGTGTGATCATTCCTTTGAATTAGAATAGTGGGGTCATGGGTAATGTACTTCTCTCTCTACTTCTCAGGAAATCATCTCAATCTTTTATTTTTCTCTTTTAGGGATGCCAAAGTAAGGAGAGAAGGAAACAAAAATTATCAAGACTTTTACCTTCTAGACTTGCAAGAGGATTCTGATCCCTTGTATACCAAGCCCCAAGACAAGCAATAGATGTCAGGTTAGGTTGGAAATCAGCTTTGGTTCTTCCAAACAATCATGAAAAGTGTTGTCATAGGTGACTGGTGATCCACTTTAGCATCTATAGTACTTTCTGCAATCAACAATTCTAAGAATGGTGCTAAAGAGTGGTTAGATAAAAAGCAAAATTTTTGAAATCTTTTTGTGCCTTTCTTGACTCAATAAAACCAATTTTGAAAACATTTAATGAGATCAAAAAGGTAAAATAGCATCAGTAATCCCCACTCCCCCAGACTTAAATCATACACTGTCCTCAGTGTATAACCAGTCGGAGTTAGTGCATAAATAAATAAAGTATAATTGATATCAAAAATTGTGAACGATATACCTGACCGATGTTCGTATCGATCGATGGTGAGTCGCTTCTATCGATCTTCATGGCTAGTTCTGTGTCGATCGATATCGACAGTATCGTATTGGTCGATAGAGGTAGTGATCGTGTATCATCTGAAATAAATAAAACGAAAGTAATAAGTAAAAATAAAATAAAACTAAGGAATAAAATACCTAATAGTGGGTTGCCTCCCACTCAGCGCTTAGTTAAAGTCATTTAGCTTGGCTATGGAGGTATGGTGGCTAGTGATGTGAATTGCAGGTACTTGTAGGGAAACAAGTATCCTCCTTGTCTTGTGATTCTTCAAACCTTGAAGTTAAGAAGCTTCTTGTGGCTTTCTCGCTTCTGGTCATACTAGCTTTCAACCCTTGGACCACATAGTGGACTCTCTGTAGCCACTCCTCAGTGCTTGCTATGCTGAAATCATGTTGTCCAATCTTGCTGTAGGTGTTTTGTAGATCAATGCTCAACTGCATTGTGTCGAGGTTTTGGATGTTTTGCACACGGGAAGGGATAGTATCGACCGGTCCTTGTGGTTCTGTATCGGTCGATTGTGAAGGATGTATATTGGTCGATGGGCTGGTAGGCACATCGATCGATGCGGATGGTGCAGGTCGGTTGGTGAGCTGTCTCTGAATGTATTCGATCTCTTTCTGAATTCTTAATGTTGTGCATTCCAATCTTTGAACGTCACTCTGTACCAGGAACTACATCTTGTCAAGTAATCTGTATGCTTCGTCTCCACAGGCTTCAATAGATTTGTAGATATCTCTTGTGATGTCCTTAATTTCTTCTATGGTACAGAAGTCTGGTGCTTGAGTATCGGTCGATGTACAAGGTGGTTCATCGATCGATAGCTCTTGTAGGTGAATTTCGATAGGCTTGTCTATGGTGGTATCGATCGATGATGCTGAGGCTGTATCGGTCGATTTCTGCTTCTGAGATTTGAGTTCTTTGCGTAGTGCATGTAGTTCTTCTTGCAGGGCTTTCCTCTCTGTGCGAGCTAAGTCATTGCTGGTATTATTCCAATGTAATTCTCCTTGAAGTGATGCTATGGTTCTTTCATGTTCAGACCTCAGTGATGCCATCTCCCAGTTATGTTCACCAACTCTTCCATTGATCATGTATGTGACTTTTGCTTGTGTGTAGAGCTTGCAAACTGAAACTTCTTTAGCAAACTGTTCAGCGTGCTCTGGTAAACAGAAACAAGAGCGCTCCATCTGTGAGGCTTTATTCAGCAGCTTCCCAATTTCTTCTTTGGAAACATGTATGATGTCTCCAGCTACTCCTCTTGCGAAGCCATTCTCATCTCTATAAACACCATATTCGTCTTTCTTTTCCCATAAGAACTGACGAATCCTGGATCTGAAAGCTCGTTTCCCAAATTCTCGACATATATCGGTCGATGTGATTCTCCATATATCGATCGATGGTTGTTGGAATTCTGGATAAGCTGAATTGGTCATCTGAAGAATGTCTACAACGTCTTCTTTGGAGATTGGAATGATTCTTCCGTCGATTGCTCGTGCATGGCCATCTGGATCCCTAAAAATACCAAATTCGTCTGGAATTAGTAATGTAAAT